AATCCGTTGCTCCGAGTCCTATCCTGCTCGGATATTATAAGAACTTTATCTATATCCCCTTTATTGATTCTTTTCACCCACTTAAATACTTCTATCATATCTCCTCGCACTCTTCGTCTTTCTAGGGAATGCAAGTTAAGTTTCTTTAACCTATCCTGATATGGAAGGTTTCTAAGTCCCTGAATCATTTTTGTCATTCTTCGCTGCACCGACTCTAGTGAATTTATATCTTCTATAATAGGGGCACCAGAACTGAACCGCATAATCGAGGTGCGGCCTGACTAGCGCAAGATATAGTTGCAATAAGACCTCTGCACTCTTATTACTTACACTTCTAGATATAAAACCCAATACTCTGTTTGCCTTATTTCGAACATTAACGCACTGTTTTCTAGGCCGTAGGTCCGGGCTTACAAGTACCCCTCGGTCTCTTTCACAAGTCGACTTCTCTAGGTTGATGTTGTTCAGGCTGTATACATTGACAGTATTTGTTCTTCCAATATTAAGTACGCTGCACTTGCTGGTGTTGAATTTCATTTGACATTTTTCAGACCACCACTGCAGTTTATTTAGATCCTCCTGTAATGCATTTGCATCCTGCCCTGAATTAATCTGCCCCCCTATTTTGGTGTCATCCGCAAACTTGCTTATGTCACTGCTGATCCCAGTATCTAGATCGTTTATGTAGATTATGAACACGAGTGGGCCTAGTACTGACCCCTGGGGAACCCCACTGGTTACACGACCCCACTCAGATTTAACACCATCTACGCTGACCCTCTGCGTTCTATCGGTAAGCCATGATTTTATCCAATTTAAAACTTTCCCCTCGATACCATGAGTCTTAATTTTTCTCAGAAGCCTCTGATGCGGTACTCTGTCAAATGCTTTGCTAAAGTCTAAGTAAATAACATCGTAATTTTCGTCATTATCTACTACCTCGAAGACTTTCCTAAAAAATGTCAGCAGATTTTTTAGACAAGATTTTCCCTTTGTAAACCCATGTTGAGAGTCGTAGATTAATTTGCTTTTCTCTAAATGCGATCGGATGTTATCTGCTATAATTGATTCAAGAAATTTCCCCACTACTGACGTCAAACTGATCGGCCGGTAATTTGACGCTGATGCTCTGTCTCCCTCTTTGAATATGGGTACTACATTTGCCTGTTTCCACAAGTCTGGCACAACTCCGGTGTCTAATGATTTTGTAAATAAGTTTACGAGAGGTCCGCTAATCTGTTCCCTACACTCTTTCAAGACTCGAGAGAAAATTTCATCCGGCCCTGGGGATTTTGTCTTCTTTAGTTTATTTATCTTCTTAAGAACATCCTCTTTTCTGATAGTGATATTCTTTAATTTCTCTTCTTCCTTTCCCTTAAATATCAGTTCCACCTCTGGAATTTCATCGGGAATTTCCTCTGTGAAAACTGATAAGAAGTAGCTGTTCAATGCTTTGCTTATTTCTTCACTGCCATTTATCACTTCTCCCCTCCCTGACTTTTAAGGCCCAACTTTGTCCTTGACCTTTGTCCTATATACCTGGAAAAATCCCTTGGGATTCGCCTTGGATTCTCTTGCTATTTTGATTTCATAGTCTCTCTTTGCTTTCCTTACATTTTTCTTAACATTCCTAGATAGTTCATTATACCTGTTTCTGAGCTGCTCCTCCCTCCCTTTAATTTCTTATATATTCCTTTCTTTATTCCTATGTCATGTTTAATGTAATGAGACAAAATCTCACATGAAGAGGTAAGTTAGGAGCTTATAGTAGTAGAGTATTATAGCGAGAGGAAATGGTAGCGTGTCTCGAGGGTGTGATGTCAACACTGTATATTAACACAGGCACAGTACAAGTGTAGTATATAAAACACCAATGCGTGTTACAGCTTTATTTTACTAGTTCAATAGGGGGGATTAATAGGGGGGTTCGTACACAATTTATGATAGACTATGGTATTCTCGTATAACCTAACCTCACAATTAGAATGGGCACTTCACTAAGTCGATCGTTGGGGAGGTTCGGGATCACTGCACTTCCACAGACTACACAGCCAGCACTTACTGTTACACGTGGAGTTGACAGCACTTTGTCGATGGACCCGGGTTGAGACTTCGGCACACTTAATGGCGGTCTTCTCTCGAGCGGGACTCGGGGACCTGGTAGCTGGCCCTTCCTGGTTACAGACACTCTCTCTCGTGAGAGGAGCTCCAGCCCCTATATATTAGTCGAGCCGGGGGGTGACCTCTCCTACTGAACTGGGTGTGTCTTGACCGGGTTGTCGGGTCAACAGGAGTGCTGGCTAATTAGCGGGTCCTTGAATTACTAAGGTCATGACGCCGGGTAGAGCTGATCGAGTGGTGGTGAGAATTCTGGTTCCCTAGTGTCAGGTCTGGGCGGCTGTGTGCAGGTGCCGTCCTGCCCAGGTGTCTTGGTTAGGTGCGGTTTGTAGGTCACCCGGCTAACTCACGTCATTAGCGGACGAAGTCAAGTCCCTAGGGTCGACCTGAGGTGTGTCAATCCGGGATGTGATGGTGCCACGAGGTCTGTAGTGCTTGCTGTTACATGTGACATAATTCCAGGCTGTAAGCTTTGGTCTGACAAACAATCATTACATTAAGTTTTCTTAACATACAACAGGTGGAAGTAAAAACTATATGTTAAAACTCAGTATGATAAAACACAATTGATAATTCTTCAACATAAAGGTGCCAATTGATATAAAACACAAATAAAATTTAATTATTCGTTTATTTATTTACGGGAAAACTAGCTCACCAGTGAGGCGCCCTCCTCACACTACCACCTGACCATCCTCATCACTGCTCCCCACAACCTCCTCACACTACCACCTGACCATCCTCGTCACTGCTCCCCACTGTAGGTTATGTATATAAGCTACTGTGCCGAGTAGCAACCCTGTACATAAGCTACTGTGCCGAGTAGCATTTATATATATTATCACGTGGCAACACTGCACGTGTTATGTGGCAACATTGCCCCGAGGCTGCCATATGGCAAGGAGCCTCAGTCTGACTGCGTGAGCTGTGCTTGGCACATGCTGGTCACCGCTTGTATTTCTCTCATCCACAATAAACGAACTCAGTGTTACCCAGTGTTTCCCTAGCCATCACTGCATTCTTCAGGGCACACTAGTAACCATCACCCACAACCTCCTCACACTACCACCTGACCATCCTCATCACTGCTCCCCACAATAAATGCATGTTTCCTCATTTCATGGTCATTATTCTCAAATAAAGGAATAAAATTTTCCTCTTCATAATCATCCAAAACGCTCTGTACTTTACTGGGGGTGAGGAGAGGGTACGGCCTGGTCACTGAACACAGCAACGCGCACGGCTCAAGCAGGTCTATCTAAGCCTGACTCTTCCTTCATGTTTCCACTTTGTCACTAATAACAGTTACTGACCACCTGATTTTTCAAAAAGGACTGAAAAAAAATTAATTCAGTAAGTCATTCGTCTGGCAGTCACTTTGATGCTTGAGACTCTGGGTTCTGAAGCGTGGAGGTGACCTCACTGGGCACATAAAATCAACCTCCTCTAACTTTTATTTTTTATTTGTTTTCGCTGACCAGTGAGGTGGCTGGCGGTCACCTCCCCGTGCCCTCAAGTGTTGTGTCAATCTCTAATATAAAAAAACAACAGAAAAACGAAATAACATAGAAGTTAAGGAAAATACACGAGCGCGCACACACACACTTACCAGTCTTAAGGTTGGTATAATGTAGAAGTCAGGCAGTGCTTAACCAAATGACAAAAAAAGATACACGAAGCGTAATGTTGGACACGAAGGAGCAAATTTATTCTCTTTTCCTTATTATGTTAAATATTAATAATAGTCAGCCATGTGTAAGCAGGCAGACGGAAATTTTCCATACATGAACGACATCTGTTGGTTGGAAGCCAAACTTCGTTTCGGCCTTTATTCTCCGTTCCTTGACTTACAACTAACTGTAATGAATTGTGGTGAGCAGTCAACCATTGCTATGGTGGACTAAGTCTAAACTCATTTGTCGGCAACTGTACAGTCAGCCAAAGATGCACCGACCCCACCCTGGGTCTCGTGCTCCCAATTTTACCTGGCAACACTTGGTAAAGGAAGGCTGTATGTAAAGGTGATTGTGATTGGTGGATCTGTTTTCGGCTGTATCACTGTCAGGATAAATATTAAACAAACCAAAGGTAGAATTATTATTATAATAAACTGTTCATTGTTATTTAAGGTCATGAAAAGTTTCCAAATGTTCTTATATTTGCTAAAATAATGAAGAAAATTTGATGTGAGAATCTTGTGGCAGCTGTAGTTGTAGTTGAGTTACTAATTCATTAATACAATTTTCTTCATTATTTAAGCTAATATATAAACATTTGGAAACTTTTCATGACCTTAAATAACAATGAACAGTTTATTATTATAATAATTCTACATTTGGTTTGTTTAATATTTATCCTGACAGTGACACAGCCGAAAACAGATCCACCAATCACAATCACCTTTACATACAGCCTTCCTTTACCAAGTATTGCCAGGTATAATTGGGAGCACGAGACCCAGGGTGGGGTCGGTGCATCTTTGGCTGACTGTACAGTTGCCCTCAGATATAGTTCCACCCGTCGTCTGTGGCCTCTCCGAACATGTGGTAATGTCGGAATCATAAACGAACTTTCTTTACAGATATTACAGCTATCATAATTATCATTTACCACAAATATAGAGTAAAAATATTACCGAAAAAATATAATGTTGGCCACATGTTGGGAAAGATGACTGAGGGATTAAGCACTATACATTGGTTTTTGTATTAGCAGGTGTAAGACTTTGCAAATGCAATTTTATAAACAATGTATACCACCACGTTAAAAATTACAATACAAACATATATTATCTAACATGTGTGTGTATAAAAGAACTAAGTTTTATGACTTGATGCTCAGTATACAGAACAAACTTTGCTAATCACCTCTGTTATTCTCACCTTGTGAAATATCATCGTAGATGTTTTGATTGACCATCCTCTCAATGATCCTGGCGGCCAGGGGTAGCCCCGGTAAGTTAAGGTACTCCCTAACAAACGTCTCACGGGGCTGTGGACTCGGCAGCACGATGGGATCCAACGTCTCCGGAAAAAAGTGTTTCCTCATTAGCAACAATGTGAAGGTACTGTAATGCGGAGGGCAAACTGACAGAGTTTCTTAAATCAGTGTCAGAATAGTGGAGTTTATATTACATCACTCACAGTCAGGTCTCTTAAGCTACACATAACTTATACACCAGTCACAGTCAGGGCCACTTAAGTTCTTTCTGTTCATCTACGAATCAAGAACTAGCCTCTCCACGTCCCAGGTCTGCCCGTGACCAAGGTCGTCCTACATCACAGATAATTCCAACAATCACATTCGAAGGATAATTTGTACCCAAGTGGATAACAAAGATCATTAGTGATAGATCATTCACTCATTTATTAGTTTATATTTGTTATATTATGTTTATGAGGGAACAGTAATAATAATAATAATAATAATAATAATAATAATAATAATAATAATAATAATAATAATAATAATAATAATAATAATAATGATAATAATAATAATAATAATAATAATGTCAAATATTCGTGAGACATAGGTACACAATATCTATTAACTAAAACAGAAAATAGCCAGTCAGTCAGCCAATCGCAGATCAAGGTGGGATTGTTCAGCCAATCAGAGGCCAGTTAGTAGGAGTGTGGTCCCTCCAAAGTAGTAAACTGTGGCGAGAATTGGTGATGGTGTGGTTTGGGTTGTTTACTTGTGCCTATTTAAAGTGTTGGGTTACTCGTTCACTGGGATTCTTTCGAGGTATTGTGAGCCCTAAACAGAGGCGACGTGCGCTGGGCAGGTCACAGAGGGCATCGGTAAGAGAACCCTTCACTCATATCATTGATTGGTTGATGTTATGTTTGTTTGTGGTACATTTCTGTGTTTATTGTTGAGGTGTTCTATGTCGGGTGTTGTTAATACTGTGAGAATTTTAGCGAAATATTATGAATATTTTGATAAGTTGTTGAGGAGAAGGACTCCCACATCAAGTGTTCGACAGTCCTTGTCCTCTTGGGCAGAGTTTCTCAACCTCTTCTTGCCCTAGGCCCCTTTCTGAGCCTCACCTACCTCTGTGGCCTCCCTCATACTTGGAAAAAAAAATAACCATCTGCACTGTGTATTAACCTGAACTGTATCATACAGAATTATATAGACAAGGTGTTTGTAGCACCTAACAAAAACGATTAATTCTATAGACATAATTGTGTACACGTAAACAAATTTCCATAAAGACATAAAATGTAAAATGCATAGTAGCAACATAACGCCTTCTAACAAACAACACTCCAATTGGTAGGTTTAATAAATTTCATCTACTTACTACTTTACGAGAATAATTTTCTATATATAAGCTACTGAACTTAGCACAAAGAATGAGATGTGTCAATGTTGACAAATTGATCATACACCTGGCAGTGAAGAAAACAGATTAAGCGAGATAGTAGTGACTTGTAACGATGTCAATAAACAAATGGATAAACTTAAACGTAATAAGTCGCCAAGTCTCGACGAGATGTTTGCCAGAGTATTAAGGGATGAAAGGAAGAACTTGGTTTACCCTTAACAAATTTGTTTAGTAAGTCATTAAAAACCAGTGTAGTAAATAAAATCTTGGGGGATAGCGAATGTGATACCAATTTTGAAGGGAGATAGATTACTATCCTCAAACTACCGGCCAATTAGTGTAACATCAATTGTAGGCAAATTGCTGGAAGCAATAATTTAAAAAAAGGTTCAAAATCACCTCACGAAACACATTGATCAATGATTCCCTGCATGGCAGCACAGGTGGGCGATCATGTTTAACAAATCTACTAATATTCTTTTCAACTGTTTTCGAATAGGTTGATTATGGACACGATTATGATGTGGTTTACCTCGACTTTAGCAAAGCCTTCGACAAAGTCCCCCACGAAAGACTTAATATATAAAGTAGAGGCTCATGGCATTGGAGGATCTGTGTTATAATTGGATCTCTGTGTGGTTACAGAACAGGAAACAGCAAATAAGCATTAACGGCACTAAATCTGATTGGGGTAATGTCAATAGTGGAGTACCCCAAGGCTCAGTACTTGGGGCATTAATATTTATTATATACATAAACGACAGATATTATAGCCGTAGGCAGTAACAAAAGTAAATTTGCTGATGACACTAAAATAGGGCGTGTAATTAAATCTGACGATAACTCTGCAAAACTACAGGAAGATCTAAGAAAATTTTCCCATGGTCTGAAAAATCGCAATTAGATATGGGATGAACAACGTTGTTATAGAGAAATCCGACTGTGAGAAAGATTTACGGATAATGATTAGTAGGAATATTAAACGAAGTCAATAATGCACATTTGCTCGAAACAAGGGGGTACTGACTGGCGCCACTCTGGTCACCCTCTGAATTTTGGAGATTTCTTCACCGGCAGGCAGCATCCTGTTTTAGCGTCAGCTGAGAATTTGTTGGAAACATGTCGAAGCGAGGAGACAGTGGGAGGAACTGGCTTGCACTTCTTTTGTGTTTTCTTGTTTCCTGTGAGGTTATCAGCATATACAAGGATCACGCGCACCTACAGTGATTTATTTGCATATATATATATATATATATATATATATATATATATATATATATATATATATATATATATATATATATATATATATATATATATATATATATATATATATACACCATTTTTATATTTACGTTCTCAAAGTCAATATTCTCGAAGGTTTTAATATAATATGTTGTTCAGCATCAGCCTCCAAGTTTGAAATATTTAGCAACAATTCACCAACACTTAACATTATTGTTCTTGCATCATTACACAGGGTATAAGTGGGAACGGTAAACTCGACAAGACGAAATCGATGATCCATACATCGCCATCACTCAAATACTGTATATGGAATCCTTCATCTCTTAGATTCAAAATCAGATAAATTAACACAGGGCCTAAATGTCTTTATGACGTAGTGGCCAGAATGACGTGATTGTGTTTAGCTGTTCACAGGCGGCGAGCTTTTTTTTTTTTTACTAAAACACTCGAAGACTCTCCAAGGCGAATGCCTTGGTGCAAACTGCCCTGTGTAAATAGCCAAGACCATCTGTAAAAAAGTTCATATGTGTTTAGAAATTCAGTTCATTCTTGTGAGCAAGAGAAGTCAGTCTATTACTTTAAGAGAAGCTATGTTTGGTTGAGGCAGGGTCAAAGAAGGTGACTTGAGATATGTAAGATCCAAACTGGTCTTGCAGCAGCTTGGGAATCCACAGAAGAATGTTGAAAAGATTACAACCAGCAGGAATAGTGATATGGAAGAGGGGGGACTCGATGAAAGTAGGAAAACACAAGAAAAGATGGAAGTTTCAGAATATCTGAGCAGAGGCTCTGAACCTGTCACCTGACACTCGCGAGGATAGAACAGAAGTAGGAGAATATGTCCTTTCCCGTCAGTATCAGATTAGAGAGTGAGGAAAAAAGTGGAAAATTATTCGGCAGGTAAAAAAAATTCCAGGAAACGCAATATTTTAGGACATCTTCGTAAGTCCAGGTTGCACAAAGGGAGCAGCGCAAAGAAGAAATCCTGATGTGCTTGAAGCAGAAGAAGGAAGATTCAATGAAAAATTGGAATGGATTTAGGTGGGTTATCTACAAGGGAAAAGTAGTGGAAGCAGCTGCGCTTGTACAGAACCAAGGGACAACGAAACACTCCCCGCCCCTTCGACCTCCCATCCAGGAGGAGACGAGCACCATGTAAACAATGACATTTGTAGCCACACCCTATGCATAATATGGTGAGTTTAGTAAACGAGGCAGTTACTGAAAATGGAAAGAGAGCAGAGCCGCTACCAAGCTCGGAGTTGCTACCGAGAACTATTTCCGGCTTGAGAGTTATATACATAAATGCTAACACTTTCCGTGACAAGAGAGCGGAGTTTGAAACTGTACTCAAGATCACTAACCCGGTATAGTGGGTCTTCAAGATCACTAACCCGGTATAGTGGGTCTCCAAGATCACTAACCCAGTATAGTGGGTCTCCAAGATCACTAACCCGGTATAGTGGGTCTTCAAGATCACTAACCCGGTATAGTGGGTCTCCAAGATCACTAACCCGGTATAGTGGGTCTCCAAGATCACTAACCCGGTATAGTGGGTCTTCAAGATCACTAACCCGGTATAGTGGGTCTTCAAGATCACTAACCCGGTATAGTGGGTCTTCAAGATCACTAACCCGGTATAGTGGGTCTTCAAGATCACTAACCCGGTATAGTGGGTCTCCAAGATCACTAACCCGGTATAGTGGGTCTTCAAGATCACTAACCCGGTATAGTGGGTCTTCAAGATCACTAACCCGGTATAGTGGGTCTTCAAGATCACTAACCCGGTATAGTGGGTCTTCAAGATCACTAACCCGGTATAGTGGGTCTCCAAGATCACTAACCCGGTATAGTGGGTCTCCATCACTAACCCAGTATAGTGGGTCTTCAAGATCACTAACCCGGTATAGTGGGTCTTTCAAGATCACTAACCCGGTATAGTGGGTCTCTTCAAGATCACTAACCCGGGTATAGTGGGTCTTCAAGATCACTAACCCAATATAGTGGGTCTCAAGATCAATAACCCAGTATAGTGGGTCTTCTCAAAGATCACTAACCCAGTATAGTGGGTCGTCAAGATCACTAACCCGGTATAGTGGGTCTTCAAGATCACTAACCCGGTATAGTGGGTCTTCAAGATCACTAACCCAGTATAGTGGGTTCCAAGATCACTAACCCGGTATAGTGGGTCTTCAAGATCACTAACCCGGTATAGTGGGTTCTCAAGATCACTAACCCGGTATAGTGGGTTCCAAGATCACTAACCCGGTATAGTGGGTCTCCAAGATCACTTCAACCCGGTATAGTGGTCTTCAAGATCACTAACCTGGTATAGTGGGTTTCAAGATCACTAACCCGGTATAGTGGTCTCCAAGATCACTAACCCGGTATAGTGGCCCCAAGATCACTAACCCAGTATAGTGGCCTCAAAGATCACTAA